ATAAAGCTCTTAGGGAGTTTATCTTTATCTCTTGTGAAATCCAAAGTAAGTACTGAATTGGAGTCCATAGAAGTCAGGCTTCTAGTGGGACTAGGATTAAGTAAACTATAAAAGAGAGGCACCTCGTGGGTCTAAGGCACGCAATTTATGTTTTGAGTAATAAGTTTAGCACTTGATTATCTTTGAGAGATATACTGACTTGATCGTCAGAGTGCCCCTAGGTAGAAGAGCCACCGCCGGAGCCTTTTCTTTCTGTTGCAGGATAACTGAAGCCATCTATTCTGCCAGTGCTCTCTAGTTGATTACTAAGCGGGCAGTGTGATCAGAAAATCACTCACACAATTTGGCGCCATCTGTGGGAACTTAGAAGAATAGATGGCCAGTAACGGACAAAAGGAAAAGATTGGGGACGACACTCCTGCTGGGAGTGGCAGACCAATTGACCTTGACGTTGAAGGAGACAACCACAATGCAGAGACTCATGACCAGTGCCACGGAGAGAAAGACGTCGGCCAGGAGGGCGACACTTCGAAGAAGACAGACCAAAGCAAGTACTATAACGAAGATAGCCTCCAAGTATGGAGGGATAGGTGCCTACGGAGGGATGAGGAAGTAAAAGAATTGGCAAACAAGTTGGCAGACCTGCAGTCGGTCGTCAACTTCATGATGCAAAACAATGTCATGCAGCCACCATACCCGCTGCACGACACGCCGATTCCAGCAACTAATACCCAGAAGAGAGGAAGGAAAACAATCCCCGAAGCCCCTCAGCACACTAGAAGCGGAAGACACTCTCACCGATCTTCCAGGGAAGTCGGACGAGAGGAACCAAGACGAGAGGAGTCCCGAAAGACACATCACACGAAGGACCTAGAGCCTAAAGAACATCGGTATGTTCAAGGGCAGGCGCTCTGCTTTGACACAACCCATGGAGAAAGATCAAAACGGGCCCACCACGAGGCCGAAAGTAGTGTGCCGAAAAGATTGAAATCCAAAGACAGCCGAGCTCCGGGGAGGAGTAAAGAAGACCTAAGAGATTACCTCAAGAGGAAGCAATAGAATGCTAAAGCCGAGGTAACTTCCCTGGCTAAGCCGAAGACACCATTCTCGGTGGAACTGGACAAATTTGAAGCACCAAAGAGATTCAGTATGTCGAGGTTCCAAATATATGATGGTAAGTCAGATCCCAACTTTCATGTGTGGACTATATCTGAATTCAATGGCATTATATAGTGGGAACGAGTCGTTGCTTTGCAAAGTATTCCCCTCATCCTTCGGGGAGATTGCATCAGATTGGTTCCATAAACTATCGAAGGGAAGCGTAAAGACTTGGGAAGGCCTGGCCGAGATGTTTGTGGCCAGATTTGTGATGAACAAACTACAGCCCTTGAGGGTCAACGCATTAATGGCTTTAAAAATCACCAGCGATGAAGGCCTTAGGGCTTACACAAAAAGGTACTACGAGGTGTTCAATCGAATACCTGAATGCAACCAAGAGGTGGCGGTCGTATTTTTCAAGAATGGACTGAAAGATGACTACCCACTACGGAAATCTTTGGCAAAGACATTGCCAAAAAGCATGGAAGAACTCATGATGAGAATCG